AAAAAAATAAAGTCTTCACCCCAATAAACTTTAATTTAAAAGATAATAAAAAATAAAGTCTTAAAGATCCACGAGAAAAAACAAAGGAAATGGACATTATCTGACAACACTTGGGGGGATGGGGAACAGAAGAGAAAAATAAAACCTTTACAGAAATAAAAGCTACTTTAGGAATTTCACAAATAATAATAGCCACTGTTGAAAACCCCGTCAGGAGCAGAGGAGCAGAGGTTTGAACAAAGCACACAAAAGAAAATAGAAAAGAACAGCTAAAAATGAGTCCTGAGAAGACAGGAGATAATGGAGCACAAAGGAGCTAGCAGAGAAGGAATGAAAGAAAGAAAAAAAAAAGTGATATAGCAGAAGAAAACTTTTCTGAAGTAAATACAGACCAGAATGTGTAGTTGGAAACACTGATGCCAAAAAATTAGCCAAACACATGCACTTGAAGTCACTGGCTTCAGAGGGAAAGACGGCGTGGGTGGCGGGCAGCCTGGTTGCCGCCCTCACCTGAATTAGGCCAGCTCTGTGTCCACCGCGTGGAGCCAGCCAAACGTCTGCCAAGTCCTGAGGGAGAGAACGCGCAAGCCCAAAGTTAAAGCCAAAACTACTGAGAGTCTCCGAGCCCTGGCGTCCAGGCGCCGGCCACCACGCCGGAGCGAGGGGCTCGGGGCGGCAGTGCCGGCCTGGAAGCACTCAAAGGAGCAGGAGCCCGTTGGAAAACAAGACTAAAGCTAAACCGCGGCGAGAGGGCGAGCGGCGGGGCCTTGCCTAGCTGGGGGGACCATGGGCTCTGCCAAGGCCCGACCCCACCCAGCGCTGGCTCCCAACACCCCTCCTGTCCTGCTGTCACTCGGGATAAGAAATGTCTCTGCACACCCGGCTTGCACCGTCACTTCTGGAAACTGACTTAGCCTCGGTTTCCTCTTCTGTAAAGTGGAGGCGTCACAGCTCCGCCTACCTGGGGTCCCGGAGGGTTAAGGACAGAGAGTGACAAAGCACTGAGCACCTGCTGGGTACAGGCAGCCCTCGGTAAACGGTGCCTGGGATGCCTTAATTACTGTTTCTCTCAGGACCCGGCGCAGGCATCAGCTGTCACCCCTCCAGTGACAGGAACTCACAGCCGG